CTCCAGTTGTATTGGGAGCAGATAAAATTGACCCTTTTGAAAACAACACAAACATAGAAGCTAACTCTCTCTCCCCACCAACCTTTGTGAGAGATTTTTTGTTTCCATTTAGCCAATCACACAATTGGTTTCCCAATGACATATATCTTGTTTGTGTTGTTAGACATCATTGAAGTATGACATAGTGATTTGATTAATGGTCTCAGCCCAGGAATCACCATTATCTTTCTAGCAGGTAGCATTATTGACTTAAGAAAACACTGTCTTTATACTTTGGCAGAGCAGTGACAACAGAAACAACAGATTTGTCATGGATAAAACTGAGATTGTGTGATTGGATATGTTGAAACAAAGTAAGTTATCACAAGCAGAGTTGGAGCTGACTGAAAGGAACAGTTCTCTTTGATATTTGCCTTTTATTAACATTTATTTAGTGGGTACATAAACAGCATTTTCAAATTTAACCACATTATCAGGGACAGGGCAGATTCTTACCTCGTCTCTCTACTTCACTCCTCTGACCCCTTCCTCTTTTTCCTCCCACCCCTCAGCAGCAGTTGTCAGTGTCCATTCCTCACTCACCGTTTGCTGACTATGGCAAAGAAGTTTGGGGTCGGCTTTCAAGGGGAGACACGTCAGGCACGATAGAGCCGGCCTTATGTGAGCCGATCTAGGCATCACAGCGGCAGGTTGCCGGAGGGGGTTAAGCACTGTAAGACCAAACAGCCGGGCATCCACATGCCTGGCAGAGAGAACAAGGCTAGGACTCCTGAGCTCTCTCTGTTACCTGATTCACCTCCAAAAGGCCTGCATGGATAAGATGCTAACAAGCTGCTGATTCTGGGTGTGATGTGAAAACAGTAAGGACACTGTGCCAGATATAAAAGTGAAGTGTTGCATCCCTGACATGGTGGAGTTTTGTCTCTTGCTGTAGTAGTATGGGTGAAGAAAATTCACCAGCAGATTAAGCACCTTTGAGGCAAACACTGCTTTTGAGTGAAAACACAATTATTATCCTGCAGGAACTCTATACCGAGGACATCACTCGAGGAAGATGAGTATACTTCCAATGAACTCTTTCATCCTGTTTATTTCTGAAATCACTAGAGTGACTGCATACACCTAAAATCCCAAGAACCGGATGGTCCGGTTTGGTCTGTGTGCTAGGCTTATACAAATGTGTTCCACTGTTCGACATAAGGGTCTATTTCACAACCACAGATTGTGACGCTTTCTGCACAATGCCAACCTGTACACTGTGCACAAAAAATACAAAGGACTATGTTGACAGCTTGCTTGTGCAGAACAAGCACATGAACACAGTGATCGAATTGACAAGCCAGTATTCCTTTTTGCAGCTCTTGCTGACAGTTTCTTGTTATACCTAAGTCTGTGGGCTCTCTGGGAATAGAATAATAGATAGAATAGAAAAAAATGGTTACCTAGAGGACAAGAATGCCATGTGATGACTCACAGTCATATGCATTACAAAGCCTCTGAAATGAACCCTATTCTGAAGCCTGTGATGGTACAGAACAATGCAGACTATTGTCAGATCAACGGGCAGACATTCAACGAGAATTCAGTGTTGCCTCCACGTAGGGGAGCCCAGCCAATAAGAGCCGCGGTGGGGTGGAGCTTGGGACATGTATATGAGGTCTGGGGTGACCTCCTTCAACAGCTGCCCTAATCCAGAACTAGAGACTGTTTCCCCTCTCTATTGGCACTGGATTAGACTGGATCTCACAAGGTCGTCCAGCCACCTTCTGTAAGGCCAGTCTTTCCCATGCTGCCTTCCAACTAGCAATTTTACATGGCCTAAGTAAATTTGTTCCTTGTAGTTGCCAAAATGTTCACCCCCGCTGCAACAAACCCATTCTTCGTGAGATGTGAGGTAATAGTGCCTACCTCGCCACCGGCTCCAGCAGAACATTTCTGTGTTGGCAGTTCTTGAATGTTACTTCGCTGTAATCCACCTACAAACTAACGGCAACGAAGCAGCGCTCTGTGATTTCTGTATGGAGAGTATTGTCTTGTCCTGCCATCCTCTCCTTCTCCCACAAATGCTGCAGCTTTCAGCAGAAATGCTGGGAACTTCCGGCCCCCTTACTGCTCTGCTGAACAGTTACTGTCTGTCTGAGGCACCACTCAGCAACAGGGTCAATAAATTCCCTTATATAGGAGGTAAGCCTGACCAAACAGAAGTCCCTGTCCTTCCTAAAATCCACCCCTTGCCTTAGTTGAACAGCTTGTGAGGATTTTTTCAGGTCAGAAAAGACTTCTGTCCTGTACACCAGCTGTGACAGCGGGGACAATGGGGTCACTTGTCCAAACAAGCGAATGTATGAACCAATTAGGTAATGTAATAGTGCTTAATGACTCCAAACATTCATTGTTCAAACTCTAACTTGTCAGATCATTCAGGGTCATACATGTTCTGCAGACATGTTCTGCACAGCCTTTTAAAAATAAACTCGACCATTTGATCTCTGCCATCTGCGTGCTGCCAAAATAACATTTTCTATTTGTTTGTGACCTTCCGGTCTACCACCAGCAGCAGTTTGTAACTTCTTCATTTTGAGATGGACCACACCATCCCCCCCTGCTGACATGACAAACGAGGCCAGAGTCTAATCCCAGAGCAGAGTTACAGGGTGAATCTGGAGTGGGGGAGGTCAGTGGCTGGCCTAGGAGCCAGACAGGAAAGAAATGTCCGGATTGTCCTCTAGAGGAAGTGAAGGTGCAGACGGCAGGCCCTACAGGCTTCGAAATGCAGAGCAGTCTGGTGAAGATGTTAGCGCTGGGTCTGCACGGGCCCCGAGGGGAGGAGTGGGGTGGATTATGATTTAAGAGGCCATCGCTGGGGATCAACAGTGTAGGGACAGATTATTTCCAAAATAACAAGAGAGTTTTAGGTTGTGGCAGAAGGAGACAAGTATGATGCTGCATTTCAGGGGCAGAAACTTTTATTTTTTAGGCAGACGTTTGCATGCCTCGTCCCTGTCTGCTTCTCTGTCTGTGTGTAATGACTGCGTTTTATGTGCTTTTGTATTTTTCGTGCAGAGCTCATTTATGTTTTGCACTGTGACAGCTCACTACGATTATCTACACATGTTCAACTCTTTGAAGCAGATGACACATTCATCCATACAGCCTATCTGAGCATATGATCGTGCCACAAGTTATTATCCCCTGTAATGCCAGAGAGTGATGATCAGCACTCTCAGCATCAGGTTGCAAATCTAGTGTGTGCCAGGAAGCTAGCCCAGCCTCTAATCCCTACAGAGAAAAGGTCCGAAAAGTCAGCTATTGCACAGGTGCAGATAAATGTGTTTGGGCAAATCACCTTAACCTCATTACAGTGTCACTGTGGCAGGCCACAGAGAATCAATAGCAGATGAAATGTGTGTGTGTGTGTGTGGGGGGGGTTAAGAGCACTGATCCACGGGGATGTGATCAGGATTACGGCACTGAAAGCTGGAAAACATCATTTGAAGCTTTACGTCTAAGCAAATCATCCATAAAGAAAAAGATCACCCACAATCATTACATTATTAACATGTCACAGCCCATATCAAGCCGTTGTCACTGGAGCACAAGCTTCAAAATCTCTTCCTCTCAACAGGCAACAAACATCTCCATTGTCAAATCCTCTGTAGGACGGACATCCTGCCATGTCCTTGTCAAAAGAGCTAATTTTGATTCCTCTTGTTAGGGGACTGCATGGTTTGTTCCCTAATGTTTTGAGCTGGCAGAGCAAACAGTGAGATGACATCCTATTTCTGCAACACCAACGGGACCTCTGTCTGTGGTGCAGTGCTGGACAGATAGAGAAGTTAACACGTCTGCAGAAACCAACACCACGCAGTCATTAGATGAGCATAAGCTGGCAGGGGGATGGTGATACGGCTTCACCCAGGAAGTCAGGTTGGCGTGGTGTGCCAAACTAACAGCTTCAGGCTATATAAATGTCATCTGACTGGGCAGCCTGGTTGTCAAGCAATGTGAATGGCATAGTATTCAACAGAAGGATGAATAATAATACATCAACGACTCTCAAAATGTCATTAAAATAAAATCAAGTCCGAACTTTACACAGTCATAGCACTGAAAAGCATAAGGTTTTGTGCCAAAACGTTTGAAGGAAAATTTGAAAGGAACCAAAGTAGCATATCCTATTCCGCTCAGTAGCTTTAAATAAAACAGAGGACTAAAGCAAACCATCTGTCTCAAGAAACCGATAAAAAGCTAAGCAAAGTTTTAATACACATCTGCAGTCAAATCACATGCTGAAAAAATTCAGCATGTGGAGATCAAACCAGTAGCAAAAGCCAAGAGTCCCAGTTACCGTCCACCAGTAAAGATGGGAGCAACAAATGGGCTGCGGAACATTTGCTTTCCGTTTAGGTTATTGGTCTCTTTACCACAGCAAAGACTTAACTCAGCCAATCTGTGGACCAGTTTAGGAAATATCAAAATATGCGGCTGGTGATGATAGATAAACGGAGAGCTAGAGCTAATTTAACAGCACATAGGCCAATTAAATGGAGGCAAAACCTAACTAAAGTTTCAAACTTATCATATAGTTTCCCAGGCTACAGTTTACTAATAAATTACAAAATAGTTCAACCTTTTACAACTGCCCACCGTCATGTGCTGTAAGTTAACTTAAATAAAATCGCAACACCACAAGCAAAATACAAAACTTTTTTTTTTTTTAAATCCGTTCAACCTACTATCTTCACGTTACTTAACTGTCTCAATCGTGTAGGCTACTTCATTTTCACAGACCACACCAAACGCGAAGCCTACTCTTTAAAAACTACTAACAAACGCTTTTAAGTACTTCAACAATGTAACTATCCATTGAGTGGCGTGGTCTGCCTGCCCCTCAGAAAGCCGTCGGCGGCAGGGTGATAGCGAAGCACCCGAGCTGTAGCTTCTAAACTTTCTCCAGTTAAGTTTGTATCACTTTTAAATTAATTTAAGAGTTTACTTACCTTTTCCCGGCCATTTTCTTCACATTGTAAACAAGGCGTACACAAAGGGGAAACGTTGTTTGGTAGGTGTCCTGAGCGCGTTAATTTTCTGAGCGCACAGAGCGGTCCGATGAGTGAGTACGGGACGGTCCTCCGGTGGTGAATCCGATATGGAGTCTCCGCCTCTGCACGTGAGTCATAGGTTGGGATGGGGGTCACCCAGGCTGCACCCCTGCCCCCTACCCTGCTCCACCACACCCCCACCCTATATCCGCTAACCTTTGCAGGCTGGAAAGAATAGAGACCAAACCATAAACAAAATATTTAGCGGCTCAGTTAATGGCCGAACCATACAATGTCAAACTTCTGTGACTACAACTATCCCATCATGCTTTGGGGGAACAATACTGTTCGTAGCCGTCTGACAACTCTCCTTGTAGTTGGAGCAAAATAAATAACTTCTAGGCTACTAATTCTGTCTTTCCATGAATGAAAATAATGTAATAGACTTGTTTTTGACAGTTTCTTTTCACCGTATATTTATTGTGGTTGTTACAAAAAGTCAGACACCCTAATGTTTTGGACTTTTTTATTTGTAAAAGATGTGCTATTAAAATAGTTAGCTTGGATTTTAGCCCTCTGTTAAAGACACATCTCGAAATGTACAGAACACTGCGGTTGCTAAGCGACAAACTGGTATGAGGATTATTTTATTTATTTATTTATTAATATTATAATATCATATCAGGATTGTGATATGCACATTTTAAAACATATTCTCTGTGGACACCGCCAGTCAGAGAGCTGGGAACCTTAATGATCAGTTTTATGATCACAAATCCTGTTGTTGTAATTACAGTGAGCCCCGGTGTTGTCCTGTGGACAAGCGCACAGAGACACCTGCTGGAGAGCAACACAAACAGCCATTTCTGAATAAAAGTCGGGTCATGTTTATGGACAAACACTTTATTCACAATAACTATCTTAAAACAATTACTAGCATTCAGATCTATGGAAATATTTGCTAAAAAGATAATCAGAGAAGCTAACAAAGTCAGGTAGCTTAAATTCACATCAATAAGTAGTACATTGTTGTGCTGTGTTGTTCCTCTGGCACAGAGTAAACTATATATCCATTAAATGTACATGGCGCATCTGTTCACAGTGAACCCTTTAAGTGCTTTTCCAATGTAAATAAGGAAAGGACAAACATACAAATTGCGGGCAATGACATTTCTCAAGCTACATTTCTCCCTTTATGTTCATTTTGTCAACTCAGATCATACAATGAGATCTGCCTCTTCAGTATTATAAAAAAATATTGTAAACATTTATATTAATTGCACAACATACATTCAAATACATACTGTACTGTACAGCAATAACTGACTTTTGTATTATTATCCTGTAGCACCATGTATAGCAAACTGAACAAACTATTTGGATACTTCTACAGTGTGGTACTGACAATACAAAGGAGTAAAATGGCATTCACAAATGACGCATTCTGTCAGTGGTCAAATATTCTGGAGGTTTGGATTGTATCACTGTGAGACAGTGGTTGGTGTAGGGCTGTTCAAGGTGTGGCTGACACTGGATATGCTTGGGTAAAGGCAGACAGTCTCTAGTCACCTTATATCTCACAGCTTTGAGGAAGATGATGCATCATAAAGGACATTCATCAGCGTTAAGATCAACTATAATACAAAAGATTATGGCAAAGAGTTTGTTACCATTTAAAAGTCCGTACCACTTCCATGTGCAGACAAATTGGTGCAGAGGAAGAACATATCTTGTTGTTACTCAAGGCGCTAATGATTTAACTAATCAGCATGTGCCACAGACATCATGAGGCCAAGACACCATTGTGTAGCAGCAGAGGTGACATGTAACTCATAATGTTCCACCTGGTCCCATATGATAAGAAAGAAAGCTGATTAAAGCTGATATATATTATGTACAAGCAGTACTGTTAGACTGAATGTATTGTGGATACCAAACTGTCCCACCTAATTCACAGCATCCTGTTAATGTACATTGTTCTGACAGCTGAGGGTAACAGAAGACGTAAATGAGAATGAAATGTGCACGAAGGTAGAACTGACGGTTGGAGAGTCTTTAAGTTTCCTCTCAGTCTCAGCATCTCCTCTGCCTGGGTGAGAGTTAAGAGAGCAGCTCTCTCAAAATTTAAAACCCAGTTTAAAGTTAAAATAGTATCTCAGGTTGTGGTCCAACGAAGTGTGGTCAAGGTCCGTGGGTTTGCCTACACTCCCCCTTCTCCTTCCGTTGCCGGAGGAGGCCGATGTGGTGGGTTGTGGGATGCAGGTGGTTAACCAACCCACCCTTCCCAAATCTGCCCTCTGTGCAGGGGAAACAAATGCTGTGAGTTAAATGTGCCACTTTAGGCATTCACTGGAAACCATGGCTCCAGTTGTGGTCTGTTCCTATCAACACTGCGAGGAAAAGTAAGAAATGACAATAACAGGACTGAAAACACAACATAATGAGCCAATGTGACATCTGCATTGCTTAACTGAATTTGACTTGAGTAAGTGAATGAAAAAGAAGATGGTGCAGATTTGCAATGCAGGTAAATTAGTTACTGTAAGTATGGGAGTACAGAATTACAGTAAATAGGAGAGAGGGAAACATGCTGCTGGGTCATCTGACCAAGCTAAAAAACAAAAGGATGGAGATAGGAGTAGAGCTTGGCTTACTACAAAGGAACAGATGGGTTATGACAAACTCACAGCGATTTGGAGGAGGGCTTCTTCACTTTTGGCCTCTTTCGACGATGAACTGGCCTGAAGCATGCACAGCACGTATACACGTGCAGGGCAAATGCACGTGCATGGAGACAAACACACAGATATATACACACACACAGACACACACATACATGCATGCGCGCGCACATACGCGCACACACAGGCAAGCACACACACATACATACCCACACGCACAGCAGAGACAAGCAATTAGGCTTCATTACAAAAGGGAACAGCAGAAGCTGAAAAGCAGGCTTGCATTTTGGCCCTCTTTGGCTTCTGCTTCTGCATGCTAAAAAGGCTTTGATCACAACAGTAGGGAACCATGACAGCTTGAAGAAGATCTATTTCAGCACAACATTAATGCATTTTATTTTCTTGACTCCCCAGATTCCCAGACTCGCACTGAGAAGAAACATAGCCAAAGACACACTAGGGAAGCTGTAACCTCCCAGAGTTCAAATTGTAACATGGATTCCATCTGCAGTGTTTGTAAAAGTAATCATCTGTGCTGTAAAAGGAAGAAGAAAATACCTGTATTCACTGAAGTAGTTGCGCTCCTTTCCTCCTGAAAGGAAGCGGAGGTAACATTAGTCTCAGTCTGAAATTTTCAGAGACACTATAATAAATCATGTTTGCCTTAGAGGCTTCTTACTCACCCTTCTCCGGGTTACATTGCTTATGTCCCTTGCAGCCCCTCAAGTCCATGAGCTGTTGATGCATCGAATTCAGAGCATTGCGGTCGAGGGTGCTGACAGCATTTATCAGCTACAGAAATCATAAGGACAAAATGTCAGCAAGGGCTTTGGAAACTGGAAAACATTGGAAAATGTGTACACACTATGCTCATAGGCATGCACTGTGAATAATACTGTGTAATCATTTTAAAGTTATTATTGGGAAGTTATTTATGTATCTGCCTAATAGTACACTGTGTCTGTACAAATGAAATACCTGGTATGGGTCAGTGTTGAGGTCAAAATACTCCAGGAAACCGGTAGCAAATTCACAGAACAGGAAGTTGTGTGTGTCATTGATGGTCCTTAGGCACCAGTAGGTGTTATTGTTGGCACTGGTGCATGCACAGAACGGACCCACTGAGGGAGGGAGCGGGAGTGGTGAGGAAGGGAGGGGTGACAGTGGAAAACAAGGGACATTACAACAGTGTTCAAAAGAATTATTGTCATCATACCTGCTTTGGAAAATATTCAAAAGTTCCACAACAATATTCTTCACATCTCTTTACACAGCCATATGTTATTCCTCACTTGTCCAGAAGGGGGCTGTCTGCCAGTGATGGTTGTCGTGGGTGAAACAGGTGAGGCCTGGCATGCTGCAGGTATCGTTGTTTTGGAGCCTCTTGAGGAATTTACGTAGTTTCTTTCTGCGCTTCTGCTCCTTCTGCAGCCACTGGCTCTTTTGCTTTGATGGCATTCTGATGAGAACAAAAACACATCAAATACAGTGAGACTGCATAAAAAAGAATTTATTCATTGTCAAACACTGTAATCTTTTACCTGAGTGAGTGCATGCGCAGTGCATTGAGCCTGAGAGTCTCTTTATTCTTGAGGAGATAACTGTAAAGACAAGAAGCAATAGTCACATACTGAGTGTAATGAGATGTATATGCAGGTGACAGTGTGAGTCTGACCCATTCGTACCTGGGAGTGTCACACTGACATTCCTCTGGCCGCACCTTTTTCAGGTGACCTTTGACCTCACGCAAGTTCTTGATTTTGGTCTGCAAGGTTTCAATCTAAACACAGTAGGAACAAACACACAAAGCTCATTATACACCACAAGCAACTAACAACCTGTGATATGGGTTTTACGGTCTGGATTTAACAAGGAAGAGAATGTAGCAGTACCTCATGTTCAATGTGCAATTTGTGGTCTTTCCATGCCTGAAGAGACTTGTAGAGGCCTCCATCACATTTCACTGTGTCATTCATAAGAATAGAGCATCTGCGGGATAAAAGAAAACCTAATAGTACCACTAAAAATTATGCAATTATTAATTAATGTTAACATTTTATATCTCTTTTTTTATCACCAGAAACATTACACATTAATGCAGACAGATGTACACAGTAGCACCTGTAGGTGACTTTAAGAGCAGCAGGTGGTGTGAGTTTATTGCTTGTAGTGGGTTTGGCTGTGACCTCCATGCCACTGAACTCTTCATTGTCCTCCTCATTCCCTGCTCCTCTCCTCCTGTCTCTGGCCCAGCTGCTGTTCCTTGAGCCCAGGGACCGGTACCCATCCTTTAGGTCTACGGCATACAGGTCTCCATCCAGCTCAAATGATACAGCGCGGGCCCAGCGCTTCCTAGAGACAGACTTACTGGATTTCATCTCTGAGTAAGATGAGACAGAAGAACCTGAAAAAGAGCGCTGTGTTTTTTATACTGA